CACCACAGCCACTCAAAGATCGTAGAATCATAGAACTGTTTGAGTTGAAAGGGACCCTTAGAGGTCATCTAGCCCAACTCCCCTGCAATGACCAGAGACATATACAGCACAATCAGGTGCTCAGAGTCCCATCCAGCCTGACCTTGAATGTCTCCAGAGATGAGGATTCCACTAATCCGTTCCAGTGCTTCACTACCTTTATCGTAAAAAATAATAAATTCTTGCATGCAATCTAAACCTCCCCTCTTTCAGTTTGAAACCATTTCCCCATATCCTATCACAGCAGATCCTACTATACAGTCTGTCCCCTTCTTTTCTATAGGCCCCCATCAGATACTGAAGGGTGACCATCAGGTCTCCCCAGAACCCAGCTCTCCCAGGGAAATTGTACCATCCCTTGCATTATTTTTGTGGCCCTCTTCTGGACACACTCCAACAGGTCTCTGTCTCTCCTGCACTGAGGACAACTGGACACAATACTCCAGGTGAGGTCTCACCAGCATAGAGTAGAGAAGCAGGATCACCTCCCACACCCTGCTCACCATGCTTCTTTTGTTGTAGTCCAGATACAGTTGACTTTCTGGGATGCAAGAGAACACTGCTGTCTCATGTCCAGCTTGCCATCCACAGAATGAAACTGCTAAATGTCTCTGAAGACTATTTAAATAGGTACAAGTGGCAGTCTTCTGTTCTGGACTTGTGAATGAACATTAGCTCATAGACATCAAGTAAACCCCAGGTAACCATCACTAACAAATTGAGGACTTCCTGACAGCTACTGTTGTCTATTGGTTACTGGAGCACAACAGCCAAAACACCAGTATGATCTCAGACACTAGAGAAAGCCACCAAATTCATAGGACAAAAACAGACATTCCTCTCTATTGAATTGCCCTTTTTAAGTTCTCCAGCATCTGAGACAGAGCACCAGCTCCACACAGAGCAACTTAGTACGAACCAAACCATGCTCTGTGTGTCAAGCTAGATTCCATGTGTTAATTGCAACTCGGAAGTCAGTAACTCTAGAGGACAACTTGCTTTCAAATCATTTCAGGAAGGAAAAGTTGCAGCACCTGTAGCCAAAAACAGGCCAGGGTGGAAGCAGAAACAGAGCTGCAGCCCTGGGGGCTCTGCTGTCCCCTGTCTGCAGTTTGGGGTAGGGAACAAAAGATGGCTTTGAACTGGAGGTAGCAGTCCTTGAGAAGGCTTTAAGGAGGGAGGATAGGCAAAAAGGGACTCCTCTATCCCCACAGTCCTCCAAGGTGCCCCACAATGCTCTTGATACATCCTAGAACATGAGGAACCCTTCAACCCCACATCACCCACCATGAAACTCACAAGGGTTTCTTCTGCTGCCCCTCATCATCTCAAATAAGGGAGATGCCTAGGCCCCATCCCTGGAGGTGTACAAGGCCGGGTTGGATGGGGCCCTGAGCAGCCCAGCAGTGGGAGGGAGGGTGTTGGAGATTAATGATCCTGGAAGTTCCTTTCAACCCGAGTCATTCTGTGATTCCAATTCTGTGATCCTACATGGACACAGTGCCACACCTCCTGCACCCCGTTCTTACCCCAGTTCAGCCCTACAAAACCCTCATACTGAGGCAACCCCCCCCGAGCCCGACACTGCCCTCAAAACACGGAGACGTCCCTAGGGCTCTCCTGAGCCCCACATCACCCCTCCAGCTTTGTCCTGTAGCCCCAAGCCCCAAGCAGGCCCACAATGCCCTTCAGCATGAACACCCCCCAGCTCCAAGCCCACAGCGCTCCCCGAGCACCCACCTCAGCCTACCCTTCTCCCAGACCACGAAACCCCTCCCCAGCAACTCTCCGTACACCCAAATCAAGCAGGATGATCACTAGAGCGACTCCCTTCCTACCTGCCGGCAAGCACCAAACCCGCAGAGCAACGCGCTCCCCCACAACCGCCTCAGGATTTCAAACTTCAACGGCACCTTCAGCCGACCAATGAGAAAGCGGCATTCGGAAGGCGGTTTCCAATCCGGAAAGCGTCCTGCGGAAGGGCGGGGATTTTCGAGGCCTTCCGCCAATAGGATCTCACGGAGCGGAGCTGCCTCGGGGGAGGCGCGCTGGGAAGCGCTGGCTGCGGAGATGTGCAGTGGCGGCGGGCTGAGGGGGAGGGGGGAGCGGGTTGGCGGCCAAGTGGTTCCGCCTTTAGACCCGCCCTCGGGGAAGCACCGAATGGTTCTGAGGAAAAAAGAAAAAAAAAAAAAAAAAACAGCAACAAAGGCTCCATGTTGGATGTTTTTTAGAAGTGCTACCCCGCTTTCCACACAGAGCAGAACTGAGTGAGAAAGTGAGGCACAGCCCAGCGTTCTCCTTGTGGGTACCTGCAGTGCGGCTGGCTTTGTGAGATGTCGCTGTCAGTGAACACAGTGTCCCTTCAGCCTCATTCCCATGATGTGTTTGAATCAAAGAAATCAAGCGCAGAAATTTCACAGCAAAGTGTTGTTACTGTTAAGGCGGGTATTCCTTATTGGCAGCTCTGGGAAGCAGGGGGGATGTTTCCCCCATAAGCGCTTCAGAGATTACACAATTCAGGGTCCGTTTTATTTCCACAGATAATCCATACTCATCAATCACCTGTGAGATAATTTATTAACATATACATGCCTATCTCAGGTAGCGATTCATGAGATTTACAGTCTGCTATTCCATGGTCTCTTCTACTGTCAGGATCCTTCTAGCATCATGACAGTGACAGTCCAGTTAACAGCCTTTCACTTTGTCCAGTGGTCTTTTCTCTCTCACCCTTCTATGTAAATTTTATTCACTGATACATGCTCAGCAGGAGAATGCCTATTATAAGTAATTCATAGGTACCAAAATCAAAACATTTGCTCTCTCAGCACTTGGCCATTATTTCTGGACATCTGCTCGTCCTTGGATAGAGATAAGTTTGGGAACATGTCTTTTAATGATAATATACTGGGTCGCTGGAAGATAAGGAGGATAGAGGGGAGTGTCTTGACATCTGCCTATTGCATCCCAGCCTACTCCCAGAGTGAGACAATTCAGCTTTGTGTGGAGGCCCTGGCTTCTTTTGATGTTTGATAAGCCTACCCATATTGTTTCATTACTGTATTTCTTTTGCTGAAAGTCTTTTGTTAAAACAGAACAGACTTATCATATGCTTTCTAGCCTATAACCCATAACTATTTGCAACATCTAAAAGCCATTGCAGTTTTGCAGGCAAGAACTAATCACGTAATACAACAATTCAACAACTGTATTTCTAAAAATATGCTACTAAAATATATGGTGTATCTACTTTTTGAAATCAGCTATTTCTAAAAACACATTACAGAATATATTGTGGCCTACCTCTTCAAATCAAGGTCATGAAATACCATTAGGTATTTCATTAGGCTTTTATCATCAGGGCCCTTTGAAAAAAATGAAACTTGGCAATATAAAAGTTAATACAGGATCAGCTCCTAAGTTGGAAAACCTTTAGATCCGCTTTTAAGCTTGGGATCTGTTCAGTGATCTATGCTGGCTAAGAAATCCTTGTGATTGTGATCCATCATCTTCAGGTCCTTTGCACAGCTGTTTCACATGACAGCATTTTGCCTCTTTCCCTCCTGCAACACAAAACCTTTAGTCCCCTCTACCCCAAGTATCTTTACAGTATCTCTGATATTCTGCTTAGAATAAAACAGAATGAAAGCTTGCTGCTTCACAACCTGATTTTTATTATTAATCTTCATTCTACCAACTACAACAGTTCTTGCAGTTCTTAGCAATAACAACATGACTGATAAAACAATAAACTTGGTAACAATAGCATCCTTGAGAATGAAACAAGATGCCTGCAACCCAAATGTAATTTTATTGATATAACACTTTTAACTCAAAAAATCACCAGATAACTGAATTCCTAACCTCTGTCCACGTCAGTAACACTGCAACCTGCCAGCATAAGACTTCATACTGTGGAGACTGCATTTCCTTTTTAGTTCCCTCTCAGTTGCACCAGTCCTTCTTTGCTATGCTCCTCCTGTTATGCAATTTCCCTTTTCTTTATAAGACAAATTAATGGTTGGTGACCCTGCCCATGGCAGGGATTTGAAACTAGATGATCTTTGAGATGCTTTTCCAACCCAAGCCCTTCTATGATATGATTCCATGATGACAATTCTGATATTTCTATGTCAGTAGGAACCAGAGATCCTTTGTTTTGGATATGCTCAGCCCCCTCTAGCCTCACGTACGTCCACAGCATTTCAGCTATTCTGATTCAATCATCTTCTGAATAAATAATAGTAACAATAAAAAACAATACAAAAAGAAGGCTTGCAGCCTCATAACCTGATTTTTATTATTGATCTTCATTCCACAAATTAAAATAGGTCAAATATCTCTCGGGCCACAAAAAAAGAGGGGAGATTTTGACTAGATATAAGGAAGAAGTTCTTTACAGTAGGAGCGGTGAGGTTCTGGCACAGGTTGCCCAGAGAGGTGGTGGATGCCCCATCCCTGCAGACACTCAAGGTCAGGCTGGAGGGGCTCTAAGCACCTGATGGAGCTGCAGGTGTCCCTGTTCACTGCAGGGGAGTTGGACTAGGTGGCCTTTATGGGTCCCTTCCAACTCAAACGATTCTGTGAAACATATCTTAAAATTTCTCTCCCTTTAAGGACTCTCTGATCAGTCTCTAAAAGTATTACATAATACACCAAGAAACCGAAGGAAAAGCGTTGTTTTTACTTTAGAGCCTCAAGCAAAACCCCACTGACCTACTTCAGAAGGATGTTACTTTCACACAGAACTCTTCGAAGCTCAGAACTCCAATTAATTTCATTCACCAGAGCCGTTAAGCACGAAGTTACGCGTTTCTGACGCACCAGGAGGGCAGGGAACGGCTCAACCCTGCGGAAGGCGGCAGAAGCGGAAGCGCCCATTCCCATTTAATGTACACCCGGCGCAGGGGCGGAGTGAACTACCGCTCCCAGGGAGCCGCGCGGCGCCGCGCCGGGCCGTGCCCCCGTGGACGGGTGGCTGGGCGGCGGGAGCGGGGTCCACGGCGCAGGATGGAGAGTCCGGCGGTGACCTTCACCTTGGCTTACCTGGTATTCGCCGTCTGCTTCGTCTTCCCTCCCGACGAGGTGCGCTCGGCCGGCCTGACGGTGCAGAGCCTGCTGGCCGCCTGGCTGGGCAGCGAGGACGCGGCCTTCGTGCAGTACCACCTGCGGCGCAGCACCGGCACGCTGCTGGCGCACTCCCTGCTGCCCCTCGGTGAGCGGCGGGCCGGGGGGTGGGCTGCCTTCCTGCCTCGGTGCGGGCAGCGGGCACGGTGTGCTGCCGTGCCCTATCTGCCAGGGTTCTTGGTGGTATACACGCTTATCTTTGTCGCCAACACGTGGAGTTGCAAAGGAATAGTGTTTTCTTTAATTTGGAAGTTCAAATCGGCTTCCTTTGGCAATGTATTTCAGGTAGAAATCAGCGATGGGTATGGACATGAAGTACCGAATGTATTCTTGACCTGGCTAAGAATTATTCAGGTGCACATCAGTGAGCACAGTGGATAGGTTAACCAGGAGTCTGCGTTGATTGATGTACTTAAAATTAGAGAATCATAGAAGATTGCAAGTTGGACTCATAAGATTTGTATAACACTTGTGTCTCCATGTGAAACCACTCCAAAATCATAGGATTATTTAGATTGGAAAGACCACTAAGACCATCCAGTCCCACCATCCACCCAAATCAGAACATATGGCTGAGAGTAGTGTCCAAACACTCCTGGAACTCCAGCAGCTCAGGGCTGTGCTCATTGCCCCGAGCAGCCCGTTCCATGCCCACCATCCTCTGGGTGCAGACCCTTTCCCTAAACCCCAGCTGCCCCTCCCCTAACACAGCTCCATGCCATTCCCTCGCGCCCTGTCACTGTCACAGAGGGCAGAGCTCAGTTCTGCCACTCCACTCCCTGTGAGGAGCTGCATCTGCCATGAGGCCTTCCCTCAGCTCCTCTGCGCCGGGCTGAACAAGCTGAGGGACCTTGGCTGCTCCTCACACTTCTTATCCTCTAATGGTTAAAGCCATTGCACTTAATTGCTTCCTTTTCCCTGCAGGTTATTACCTTGGTATGTGCTTTGCTGCACCTGAGAAACACCTTTGCTTCTTCTACCTGGCCTCAAAAGAATGGAAAATTTTCTTCTTCTTTGCTGTTCTCCTTCCAGCAGTCAGTAGCACCCTGGCGTATTACTGGTCACGGAAAGGTTGGAATAACCACCCGTTGGCCCGGACACTCGCTGTTTATGCTCTGCCACAGTCAGGTTGGAGGGCAGTGGCTTCTTCCATCAATACAGAATTTAGGAGAATTGACAAATTTGCCACCGGAGCCCCAGGAGCGAGGGTGATTGTTACAGACACATGGGTGATCAAGGTAACCACCTACTGCCTACATGTCGCCCAGCAGCAGGACATTCATTTGACTGTGACAGACTCCAGACAGCACGAACTCACACCGGACTCAAACATGCCCGTGCAGTTCCTCACCATCCGTGTTGCCAGTGTTAATCCCTATGTGAAGGCATTTGATATCCGGTAAAACAAAATAACACTTTACAATTATGACATATATGTGATATACGATGGCGTTCGTGAAGTGTTCTTGGAGCAAATCTGAAAGCTCAATGACTCTCGCTTCTCTCTCCCTGCCCGGTGCTCAGAGATGCTGTATGCACAGTTCTACCATGCAGTGCAGTGAAAAAAAGTTTAAAAAGATTCATGTGCCCACAATAATAAATGCACAGTGGTTAAACAGAAACAGAGGGACTGCCCTATTTGGTCCTCTCTTAGGAAAAGGGTTGTGCTGGATGCAGAAAGAAGTAGCTGGAAAAACTTCAGTGAGAGGTACTGGAAGAGAGCAATAAGAAGCAATGGAGAATAAGAAAGAGAATCTTCAAGTCTTTGGTCTTACAAATTTGGTGGTGAAGAAATAGTGATATTTCTAAACTTGGCTGTTGTTCACTCATATTTTTACCCCTTCCTCTGCACAAGCCTCCTGATTTTGTCATTGCTCAAAAGAATTCTCACTGCTCTACTGCAAGCCAGCTGCCCTTAAAGCTAGGAAGTAATTCCAACCCATTTCTGATTGATGAGTTGTAATAGCAGTAAATGATAGTAAATGTGCTGTGAACAATTAGGCCTTGTTTTCCAAGGGCTTCAGCTGTTTTTTAGCAGTCTTCCTATGTAGCTGAGCAAAAGTACAAGTTCTGCAGAAACCCTCAACGCTGATCAGAATGATACTAAAATCTGCCTTGTTCTTGTGTCGTGAAAGGGAATTTGTGCTCCTGCAGTTATATATTTGAAAAGGTATTTGAGTGTCTGTTGTTGTAAATGTCAGCAGCTTTTATTTACCAGATAATGAAAAGCAGGCAGGCTTGTAGGTGGGGTTCCAGAGAGCCAGAGGGCTCCTGGCAGGCATGAGGACGACATAGAGATGAGGTGTCAGAAATTGGGTGATATGCTCAGACTGAGGGGTTAAGGTAAGCATTATAGGATCCTAAGGACTTCTATAGACCTGTGAGAGTAGTGATCAAATAAATATTAAATAACTAATTATCTTCTTCTCTAAGTGATAAAATTGCATCCCATCATACTGGGAAAAGCACGAGATCCTTGACAGTTTCTTTTAGGGAAAAGAAATCCAAATCCCAAAATTTTATGGTTAACCAAAACATCATCCAGAAGAGTTTTTAGAAGTTCTTGTAAGACGCATCAAAAGTAGCAAGTATTCTGGAATGCAGTCATACAGTGTTTAAAAAAAGTGCCATAGAACAGAATTCACTTTTTAAGAATGTAGGACCACTGTGTATTTCCAGAATCAGAAGTAGGGATGTTTCTGAAAGAAAAGTGCTTCTGTGTAGGCAGGCCACGTTTCCCCATGTGCACAGTGAGAGTTCTTTATCTGGGTATAAAGGTCTGTGTTATTTTCACAGTCAGCAAACTCTATTATCCTTCAGCAGTTAAAACAATGGAGACCACCAGGAATTAAAGATGAACATTGCGTTTTGCTGTGCTGCAGGAACCTCAGCTGGGGCAGAAAGACTGAGGTATTTCAGGGCGATGTTCCCAGGGCTCCTCCATAAAAGCTGCTTAATGAGGGAAACACAAAGTTGGGGAGTTCAGAGTGTTGTGTTTTGAAGGGTAACAACAGTAGTGTGTCACTGCAGGATCTGTACAAGGTCTTATGTGCCACGTGAGGTCTGTTGGACTCAGGGAGACTTCTTTTACTAGCAGCAAGCTAGTGTGAAGCATGACCTGTTGCTACCTGAAATGAGAGCATGTCACATTTAGCAGGCATTTGCAGCCTTTTGAAATTTCAGTTTTAATCTATAAGCGTATGAGAGAACCAGAAATTAATACTGACTTTCTTCTGATTCTTACATGTATCAAAATACATATCGGAATACATGATGCGTGCCTCATTGTGTAATACAGTCATACAGCAACTCTAATTTCTGTCCTCTGGGGTTAATGTACTATGGTTAACTATATATATTAACTTATGGTATAAGGAAACAGGCATTGAAAAGGTAGACAGAAACTGTGCATGCAGTATTTTATAGATAATTCATGATATATTATGTATTTTTACTCATGTTGTTGAATTGACTGTCTGGACATGAAGCCTGAACTTGCTTATATGTGCAGGCTGGGATCTAGGCAAGAGGACTGCATGTTCCAAGAGATATCGGGGAAAAAATACAAACAAAAAAGAAACCAGACAAAACAAGCCCAGCAGAACAGTTGGTTCTTCTGTGTACTCACTTTTCTGTGTTTAACCTCTGTGAGGTACTATCGAGGTATTTGAATGGATAATTGTGGTAACATTTTATTCCATCTTTTTCAAGGCTGAACTCCACAGAGTATGGGGAGCTCCGAGAGAAGCTACGTGCTCCCATCAGTAATGCAGCTAATGTTGTGATCCACCAAAGCCTTAGTGATTTATTTCTAGAAACCTTTACATCTCTAGTGGAAATGAACCAGACGTATTCTGTTCCAAGCACTCAGGTGAGACTTTCTATCCATGTGAAACTGTAATCATTTATTTTACAATATAGCTGAGCCCGCAATTATTGTAACTGGTAATTTTGTTTACTTTGAGTTCACCTCCCATTTCAGTAAACATGTAATAAACGTAGATCGAGCTGCTGCTTCTGTTTCCTCTAGAAAATGAACTGTATTGTGAACGCCATATTTTTGAGACATGAGAAATAGCAGAGCAGAAGTTGTTTCTTTAAAACTTTAAAACATTTGGACATGGTGATGTTGCATTTCCAGAGAGTTTATGGAGTAACAGCTGCTATTCCTGTGCTTTAAACAGCTTGTTTTCCTAGACAGCCCAGTTTTGCTGGATCTTCTCCTGTAATAAATTAATAATTCTTAACTGGGACTTGCTTTAAGTGAAGTCAGTAGTCAGGTGCTGCAACAGACTGCCGGGGAGGTGGTGGAGAATCCCTGGAGATGTTCAAGAAGAATTTGTATGTGGCACTGAGGACACGATTAGGGGGCATGTGGGGATGGACTGATAGTTGTACTTGAAGATCTTAGAGGACTTTTCCAATCTTCATGGTTCTATGATTCTAAGCTTTTGTCTTTGGTGAACCTGACTGGAGGAAATGAGGCAGTTCTGCCTTGAGGTTCTGTCCAACTCAGCTTCCTGTTATGCTTCTGTGCAGACTTTTCCAAAAGCCTTTTAGAGAGCAATAACAGAAGACATTCTCTGCAGTTCATAGTCGTGGCATTTTTCTCTTTTAGGAGCTGGAGCCATGCATAGGATGCATGCAGACTATTGCAAACATCAAGCTCATCAAGAACTGCCAAGAGCCAAATGAAGGGGAATGTCAGCAATGCTACTGTCGTCCAATGTGGTGCCTCACCTGCATGGGCAAATGGTTTGCCAGCCGACAGGACCAGCAGCACCCAGAGACATGGCTGTCAAGCCACGTGCCTTGTCCAACTTGCAGAGCCAAATTTTGCATTTTAGATGTTTGCATAATACGATGAATAACATTTGGGTATGTTCTAACTTTTTAAATTTGTATTTCATCGTGGTTTTGGTCAAAAGGCCCATTAGCATTGTTTCTTAGACTTTGCATTACACAGGAGTGCAAGCTCCAGAGCTCTGTTTTACAGCATTGAAAATGGATGTACATTTGCTCAGTTTTTCTCAATTTTTACCTTTTGTCTTTGGTTTTTACACATCAGATGTCAGTTTCTGAAAAATGTTGCTTGAAACGTTTAGTAAAATTTTGCTTTCTATGTCTTGGATGGTATAAAATCATCCTATCCATGTTTGCAATACTATTCTCTTTTAACCTAGGTATTTCTGACTCTTTCATAAAGGGCTGAGAAAATTACTTTGGTTATAGTTCACTGATACTTTTGTTTATTCTTTAATCCATCTGCAAAGTTCTTATTCATCTTTGCAAGTGTACACCAAACAAGAATACCAGTTGTTCTCCTTCTGCTGGTCCCCTCCATTTATAAAGGAGATTGGTTTCTGTAGACAAAGGAATTGAATTCCTGAAGTTACATAATTTCCACAGGGACCTTTTATTCCATTTATCTGCCTTCAGTTTATTTTTTGATGGACTTTTTTATTTCAAACAGAAGGATTTAGAACTATATCCTGCTTACTTGCACTGCTATTGCTGTGCAGTATTAAATCTATAGAGCTGCATTGCTTAAGGTTTTAGAGTTTTCTAGGTGATGGCTTTTTTCCTATATTTCAAATATCCGAATTATCTGAATTACCCGAAAGAATGCTCGACTACTTCAAAGACTTTACTTTTTGTTGTTGTTGTTAATTTTTTTCTCCTGAAGGACTGCCTTTTCTCTGAAATAGATGTCAGGATCACAGAGATTGAAGTTGCTGTGCTAGGCACCCGAGAATGGCCAATCATCATTTCCCTAATGAAAATTTTTCAGGCTTGCACTTCAAAGCCTGATCATAAGGAACAGACATTGTTTTAGCATTTGTAGGGTACCAGTGCATACTTCCAGATGCAGTGTGCATCCAAATAATTTGTAAATTCAAATCAAAGCATTTTCTATAAGGAGCCATTCTCCTGGACCCAAATGCAGTGCTTACCATTTCATCTGTCCATCAGACACTTCAATAAATAGTTACTTGGCACGCTTCTTGGTGAAAAGCTTCAAGCTGCTGGAGAATGTGTGGGTTCTTGCATTGCTTTACGCACTGCAGTGGCTGAGAAGCAAATGTTTGCTTACCCAGGTGGTTTTCCTTACGGTGCAGTAACTTCCAGAAACAAGTGGGCCAGGTGATGAGAAAGGTGTATTTTAATGCTTTGGTCCAGGAGAATGAAAGCCCTGATACTTCCCATAATCAGAAGGATCTTAATTGTAAATCAAAAGCACAAGTGACATGGCAGTGCTTAACTGGCACCTCTAGACTGCCTTGAGAAGAAAGACTGCTTTGAGCAGAAATTGCTGGCAACATTTTTTAACCTTTAGAAGAATCCTGCAGGGCCAGGTGGGGTTGTCTGCTATGCACCTTCTCACTATACACCAGACTTTACAAAAAATGTTTACTTATGGTAAGTTTGCATAATAAAGGATGTGGTAATTCAAATAGTTGTAGAAGGGAATGCATAATTTTGGACTTTGTCACTGACAGTCATTCAACTTGTACATCTCTTTTTCAGTTTGGAATAAAAATATTTTAAAGATCTATGAAGATCATAAAAACCTTGAGACTTTTGGATTATAGCACATGTAATTGCAAATATTCTTATTAAAAAAAAAAGAGTCGATTGCCCATAATATTGCATGGAGTAAAAGCTTTAGATTCCCAATTGCTCGTGCAGTACAGTTTTTCTTTAGGGAAATCTATCATCTTTGAATTGAAGTTTCTATTTCAGTGGAACTTTGCTTTTACCCATCTTATTTTGCCAACATGACAGTAAAACAAGGTAATAGTCATAAATGTATAGTACTCTTGAATCTTTTGATGGTTGTGCTCTTTCCACAGAAGTGCCTCAACTTTAGTAATAATTACCAAAATAAAATGATGAATTATGTTAATAATAGTGCCTGGCTTATATTCCTTAAAATAAGCATTTTTTCTAAGTTTAAATTCTCATAGTAGTCTGGCATGCCTATGAAGTTTTTAAGCTTTTAAAAGGCAATGTTACAGAATGAACTTGTTAAAAATCTCCATGATATTCTCTTCATACAGACTGAAGAAGGCAAAACCATGACACATTTTTGAGCACAGGTCATCTGTTATCTTATAATTCACCAAACGTGAAATTTATTCCTTCTGTAAATTTTCCTACTATAAGCTGAATGTAGAGGGCTACATAAAAGAAGACATGAAAACAATTAGTGTATTTGTCTCAGAGGAAAACAAAAGAAAAGAGAGTAGCACAGGATATCATGAAATCAGAGGGGGAGATTTTTAGAAAGGCAATTAAAGAACAATGTGTTCAATTAATGGTATGAATTTGGGGATGTTTCTCTAGCACGTGGGCTTCCATCCCTTTGGCTCACTCAGGCCACACTGAATGAACAGAAATTGTCTTGTGTTCTATATAAAGTATATAGTCAAGGAATATAAATGACAAGAATTTTTATTTTTATACATTTTTTATTAAAACACAATTTTAAAAGGGTAACAAAAACAAAGAACTGGTGGAACATTTGACCTTGCTTTTGTGTAACACATCTACGTCTGGTTCGATGGAAGCAGTTGCAATTCTTAGTTCTCAAGACACATTTCAGAGATTTCTGAACTACTTTTACTCTTCCTGTATTACAACAACGTAATGAGCAAAAAAAGGCATTTCATACAGTTTTGTACTTCCTATACTACAGCTGTTAACACCTATTTTAAAATATTGACTGCAGACACTGCAGATGATGTGGGTCATTTTTACCCTTCCCAAAATTACACAAAAAAATTCTCATATTACACACCCACGTTTCATTGGTTATTAGTAGATGATACTCCACTAGTCTGCATTCAGAAGGCCTATCGATCTGTCATTTTTTACCAATTTTATATTTACTACCCTTTCTGAAGTTGTAAAGCCTGGCTTGTATGAGAATGTTTTACAATTATTTCTAGTTGTGAAATATATACTATTCCTAATTTTATTAATTTTGTTAAATATACATTGGCTCAATGATTTTGAAGTATATATCGTTTTATTCTTGTATTTTGTTTTAGATTTTATCATCATTTAGCTTCTTTTCACACGCAAAAAAGCAGCCACTTAAATGCAAATTGACAAATTAACAAATTCTGAGAAAAAGCATATGAATGTAGGTGTAATGCACATCCTCTGTATATCCAGCTTTAGCGTGCTTGGATTATGAAATGTAAGCAATTATTACTTGTATATTCCCCCCGCATGATCAGACCAGTGGTGAAGTGCTGGCACAGGCTGTGGGTGCTGTGTCCATGGAGGCGTTCAAGGCCAGGTTGGATGGAGCCCTGGGCAGCCTGGTCTGGTGCCACACCTGGAGGTTGGTGGCCCTGCCAAAAGGCAGGGGGTTGGAACTTGATATCCTCGGGGTCCCTTCCAACCCAAACCATTCTATGATTCTATGAAATGGATAAAACCATGATGGTGCTCTGAAAGTAATGCCTCCTGTTTCATGATGTTGGCACACATCCCCAGAGATTGATGATGGTGGCATGGCAGGAGAGGCCGAACCTTTCCCACGATGTTCCTTACACCGTACTGCTTTGTGACAGACGGCAGCAGAGGGGCACTCTAAGAAAACAGCTTTTGAAGCAAAGGTGTGGAACAGAGCTGCACATCTCTAATGGAAGCGCCTTGCTAACGGTGGTGACTGTTGAAAGACAGCGTTTTGTAACTCAGAAACGGGTTACCAACCGGCGTTCCAACCTCACCCCTTGCTCAATAACAACCCCGTGCCCCCACAGGCACCCACGCCCTCTCCCCAGTCTGAGGGAAACACCGCCCTGTAGCGCGCTGTGCGCGCTGCCTCGGAGGGTGGAGCCGCGCTTGCGCACCGCGCCGAGCCTGCAGCCATGTTCCGCGGCGGCGGTGGGGGCGCTCGGCTCAGCCATGTTCGGCGCGCAGCAGGGCCGTTCCGCCGGCGGCGAGCTGGGCGGGCAGCGCAGGTGAGCGCTGCCGCGGGGGGCCGGGTGTGCTGAGGTGCGGGCTTCGCTCCCTCAGGGCGCGTGGGTCCTGCGTCGGGTCCGTAGGGCTTCGCCCGCTCCGGGCCGGGGATGTGTGGGGAATGTCGGGGGAAATGGGCGCGTGGGCTGAGGGGAGCAGCGCGGCTGGGAGATCGAGTGGTTGACTGTTGTGGGTGAGCTGGGAAGGGCTTTGTCCTTTAATTGCCTTCACAAAATGTGAGCGTTTCGGAAGATGTCCTTTTGCCTGGATTATGAGTAAATTGCGTGGTGTAGGCAGAGCAGCAAGCTGCCGGAGTGAGCCAGGAGAGAAAACAAACCCAGAGCGCTGATCCAGGGTTAAAGAGACAAAATCCTTTCCTCCTCCCGCTCCTTGGCTCCAGGAAGCGCAGAGACCCGGCAGGGATGGCGTGCACAGAGCAGCGTGGAAATGGCTGCGTTTTCTGATTTGGAAGGCTCCACATCACCACACCAAAATCCTAACTCTGTGTCTTGAGTGTCCAAACGCTCCTTGATCTCTTGTCAGCTTGGGGCTGTGCCCACTGCCCTGGGGAGCTGGTTAAACGTCCCCTGATATCCAACCCAACCTTCTCCTGAACTGACAGCACAGACTCCCCTCTGAGGCTCACTCACCATTGCAGTTCTTCCGCTGTGAGATGGGTCTGGTGTCAGTAGGTGCTGCAGAGCTACTGTATGTAGTCAGTGATCTTTTAAGACAACAGAACTGCCTGAATTGAGTAGGAAGGCAAGGAGAACACAGCAAACTTAATCCTTAAGCAATCCTTGGCTGTCCTTTCAGTGTATTTCAAGCACTCCATACTAGCTCTAGTGCTTACTTGTGAGGGCTCTGTGTAGTGTCTGATGAAGAATTTCCAATATCGGCATGTTTTTCTGTAGCTGTTTGACCTATTTCTCCTTAATCACACCATTTCCCGTGTCAAAACTGACAATTCTTTAAGTTTGCCTCTTCAAGACTTTAGTGATGTATGCAATATTGCGTAAATGAAGCTAATATAGTGGTGACATAGGCCTGTCTGAATATTGGCACGTCAGCAGTTCCGTAAATACTTCTGACCCTGATTACAAACAGAAAAGGTAGTTCTGCTTTTCCAGAAATTAAGTTTATTTTAGAATTTGGGTGTCTTAACTGCAGCAGTGTGAAAAACACTTTTGCAGTAGCTGCGTTGTCTAACACATTTTCTAAGTTCCTGTTACTTGAATGAGTAGCTTGGCACAAAGTCACATATTTCTATACCAAAATTAATCAGTATTTTGTAACTGTGAATGATGATACTTACATGTAGTTTTCAAAGACAGTATTGCATGACTCCTTATGGCTTGATTCCTGATGAAAATGGTTATTTTCCAGTTCTGCGCAGCATCCACAGTGTTGGCATCAAGAGCAGAAATGTAGAAGTTGGAATGATTCCAGTTCTTTGACATTTGACAAATATCAATATGGCCATTTAGACCACTGGCTGGAGAGGTAAGGAATACATGGGAGGTTTGTTTAAATTGTGTATTTCCCTTTATTGTTGTCTTTGATGGAGTTGCAGTACAAGGAAGCACTTGCAGTGGCTAAGCTGTTATATGTAAGAGATTGTCAGGTCTGTGTTCTGATGTAAAGTTCTCCTTATGACTGTTTCCTTATTCCACAAAATGAAGTGAGTTATCACTGCAGAAGGTAACTTAAGCTGAAATGATTTGCTTGAATTTTTGCTTGAATTTGAACTGAAATGAGGTGGAAGTACACTCAGGGCATTACACTTGTGGTGGAAGCTGTTTGTCCTCTGCTGAAGTTCATGTTATGAGCAACAGAAGCTCATACAAGTTTCTTATTTTCCAGCTCTATAACACCAGGAGATTCTAGGCCTCTTTCTAGTTGTCCCAACTGGGAAGGTGAAATTAGAGAAGGGAAAGCAATGAGGACATCTACTAAAAAAATGACAAAGTAGGTATTGAATAATTAAGTCACTGTTTTGTGATCTTCAGCTACTTCGCATGCATTAATCACAATTTGAAATGCAACCAGGTTGTCTCACATCAAGCCTGAGGAAACCTAAAGGAGAGAATAGCAATGAGAAGTTTCATCTACAAAGCTGTTCATGTGATGATTTGAGACTCTTTCTTTTTGGTTTTAAATTGCATGTTCATTACAGCTTTCCATAACAGAGAACAGTGAAAGGAAAAACAAAAAGCAACCTTCTAGGCTTAGAAAGAGAAACAGCCATGTAATCATTCAAGCCTTTATCATAGAATCATAGAATCACCGAGGTTGGAAAAGACCTAAAAGATCACCCAGTCCAACCGTTCACCTATTCCCAACAGCTCCCACTAAACCATGTCCCTCAACACAACATCCAGTCTTTCCTTGAACACCCCCAGGGTCGGTGATTCCACCACCTCCCTGGGCAGTCCGTTCCAGTGCCTGACCACCCTTTCTGAAAAGTAATACTTCCTCATGTCCAGCCTGAATCTCCCCTGCCGTAGCTTGAAGCCATTCCCCCTGGTCCTATCACTAATGACACGAGAGAAGAGGCCGACCCCCAGCTCACTACAACCTCCCTTCAGGAAGTTATAGAGAGCAATGAGGTCTCCCCTGAGCCTCCTCTTCTCCAGGCTGAACATTCCCAGCTCCTTCAGCCTCTCCTCATATGGCCTGTGTTCCAGACCCCTCACCAGCTTTGTTGCCCTCCTTTGAACACGTTCCAGGGCCTCAATATCTTTCTTGCAGTGAGGGGCCCAAAACTGGACACAGTACTTGAGGTGCGGCCTCACCAGTGCTGAGTACATGGGAACAATCACCTCTCTGCTCCTGCTTGCAACACTGTTTCTGATGCAAGCCAGGATGCCATTGGCCTTCTTGGCCACCTGGGCACACTGTCGGCTCGTATTCAGCCGAGCATCAATCAATACCCCCAGGTCCATTTCCTCTACGCAGTCCTCCAGCCACACCGCCCCAAGCCTGTAGCGTCGCCTGGGGTTGTTGTGGCCGAAGTGCAGGACCTGGCATTTGGCCTTGTTGAAACTCATCCTATTGGCTTCAGCCCAGCTCTCCAGCCTGTCCAGATCCCTCTGTAGGGCCTCGCTACCCCCAGGCAGATCCACACTTCCAGCCAATTTGGTGTCATCTGCGAATTTACTGAGGGTGCACTCGATGCCCTCATTGAGGTCATCAATAAAGATTATATAATCCATTTTTGTGGAGTTGAAATTTTTAAAAATATGTAATAGTTTCCTACAGATGTGTGCCAATGATCATGCACTGCTTTATTTCCCTCTTGTGGCACTATCTGTAAGCTCCTTGTAAGGCAGCACAAACATATGTTTACTTATTACGGGTGTGAACAATTGCATAAACTTAGAAACCTCATTGGTTTTAATGGTTGGTTTGGTTAGCACAATTTTCAGCTCTGTAAACTACTGAAGTAAACATTGCTTTTCTGTCAGAGTACCTGCAGTTATGTTTTTATGTGACTTGTACAGCTATTAAAAGGTGCTTCTCAACTTCATTCTAACTTTTGTTTTTAAGTTGCATTTCAAATGATTCTGCTACCCCATCTGAAAGAGAAACAGATGAAGTGGTTCTGAGGAGAAGACAGAAACAGATAAATTTTGGAAAGAACACACTTGCTTATGACAGATATATTAAAGAAGTTCCAAAGTAAGTTGCATGTTTCCAGATGAACTTCCTTTTTCCTTTCCTTGATGTATCTGCAGGCCAACACGCAGCTGTAGTTTGTTTTCCTCAAAAAGAGGCTGGGCTTTTTTGCATAGAAGTTATTTACTTAAGGAAATTTTATAGCTAAATGCTGCACTTGTGTATTGCTGTTCCTATAATAGCAAACATTCTTTAAATTTGGTATTCATCTGCTCCCTTTAACCTTTCTGGTGCCTGCTGCTAGGCCAATACAAAGTTAACGGATTATAAGAAAAGACACTTCAATAAGGAATTAATTAAGCCTCGCATTTAAATGGTAACCAATTAGCGGTTAGTCAGTAACTAATTGAAATCAGAATTTGGATTTTATGCTTTCAGTCATTCTTGCTCAGGAGTTAACATTGTGAATTCTGGAACTTAAAATGAAGACTTTGCAGTCAGCCCCCTCTTCTTACTGCAAACTTACTAGAATTCAGAAGCTACTCAGCAGTAACATGTGAACATGCTTCTGTGTTTGTTGTTTGTTTTGGGGATTGTTTTATAGAGGTGTTGTTTTTACTTTTTGTAATGACTTGCTACTTAGAGCTGTGCAACCTTCTCTGGGTTCAGCCTCTAAGAGTCTATCATGAATATTGCCAAGCAATGCAGGGAGCTCTGTAAGCTTCCTGTTGATCAAAAGTTGAAAGATGAAACTAGATGACTGTAACGCTATAACAGATGGAAAGTACCGTAGTAATAGTGGAATGGCAAAGTCTTTGGCTACAACAAATAAGGATATGCCCAAATGCAGCAGCTGCAGACACAAAAACGAAGAAAAAGAGCTACTTACTTCTAGAGAGCTCTTGTAAATGGGGATCTCAAGAGATGGGAATCAACAAGAGATGCCCTCATCTCCACTGCCACCCCTTAAATGAGGTCTGGGAAAGGATGGATCCTGGCTCTGTCCCTTCTGGTCACTCAGATACATTGCATGCACCTGAGTTCCCCTGGGTTGGCCTGGCCTTCCCACCAGGTGCTCAGTCATTGATTCAAGCTGTGACTTAGCATTTCCACTACAGTGAGTAAAAATCAACAACAGGTATTGTAAATTATCACAGATATTTCACAATACCACGATTGTATCTTCCATTAAGTTAAATTACAGGTGAAGAATAGAAAAGGTGAGACAGTGTTCAGGAAAATAAACACGGATACACTGTTTAAAAACAGTAAATCTGGATAGCATTTAAAAGAGTAGTTAATAAGACTATTTCTTAGCAGGGACCTGTTTCTCTTACAGAATGATAGCAAAACTAATATGGCTAAGTGTATCAGTCTGTGAAGCTGTTATGAAAATCCACTTATAGTGCTTTGTTTGATTTAAAGCATGATTGTAATATGTTCTCTCCCCCCTCCCCCCCTAAATCATAAAGTCAACTCCAGTATGGTGGGACTAGAAATGGTATTATTTTGTGCTGGAGGTACTTGGAGGTTGACCCCTGCCAGCAGCCAGGTACCCACACAACTTCTGCACTTCTTTTCCAGTGGGATGGAGAGTGGATTGAGAAGAGTGAAATTTAACAGGTGAAGGGAACAGGGGAGATGGTGGATACAAAGGCAGTCATTTTCTGCCTCTCACAAATAGGCTGCTGCCTTGCCGTGCTCTGAACAGTGCTTACTTTGTAAGATGCCTCCCCTTCTTAAACTGTCACTTTCTAATAGCCAAGCATCATGTTATATAATATGGAATACTGCTTTTGTCACAACTGTTTTTTCATCCCAGCTTCTTGCCTGCCTTCACATTAATGGCTGCAGGAGGGAGCTCAGCAAAGTGAGGTTTGATCAGAAAGTCTTGAAGCAACCTTCAACAGTAGTCAAAATATTAGTGTTTTACCAACACTGTTTAAACATACATCTGAAACACGATGCTTTGACATCTTGCTAGACTGGATGACCATCCAGTCTGTATCATATCTTTTGTCTGTTGTAAACAATGCTCTAGAGTGTGCCTATTTCAGTTTAGGTGTTAAAAAAAGAGGAGAGCTATTTATTATATTACTGAGTCTTGCTTTATCTGACAAACAGGATTTTTTTGAAGGACAGAAGTTGTGTCTTGAAATATAAATGTTACTGTGTATTTACAGGAATCAGAGAATACCAGGAGTTCATCCTAGAACACCAAACAAATTTAAGAAATACAGCCGTAGATCCTGGGACCAGCAAATCAGGCTGTGGAAGATAGCACTGCATGCATGGGATCCTCCTACTGAGGAAAACTGGGACCTGCAGCCGGTGTATGTTCTGGTGAATCAGTCAGCACACCTCTTATGGCACAGAACTGTTAGAGCAATACTAACTGGGAGCAAGGAGGGCAGGGAAAAAAAAAATGTCAGGCTCAGAAATGGGAAGAATCACTTGAAAATCTTCTTTCCTGGTTGAATTCTATTAATCTCTAAGGTGGTATTTTATTTAGTCTAAATTTATTTCCAGTAAGACACTTTGAAGTTCAATGTGTCTGCAGTAATACATTGTCTTTACCACGTGTTTACGCTGGTTAGTGCAATGAAAAATCATTTCTCAAGAAGGGAAGAGACTTAGGCAGAAATCTGGTCACTCATTTCCTTGACTTTGATAACCTTTCCATCTTTGCTTTTTCTGTTGTCACTAAAGCCATTCTGCTGTAGTAGTGGTAAATAAAAGAATTCAAGAATTCTAAGATAAAAGATATTTCTGTGCTCTCTGCCTGAGTGGCAACTGTATTCAGAATCACAGAATGGCCAGGGTTGGAAGGGACCTCAAGGATGATAAATCTCCAACCCCTTGCCACAGGCAGGGCCACCAATCTCCACATTTAATACTAGACCAGGCTGCCCAGGGCCCCATCCAATCTGGCCTGGAAAACCTCCAGGGACAGGGCATCCACAGCCTCTCTAGGCAGCTGTTCCACCACCTCACCACTCTCTCTGTAAAGAATTTCCCATGACATCCAACTTAAATCTTCCCTCCCTCAACTTCAAACCATGTCCCCTTGTCCTGCTATTCTTCTTAAGCTTCTCATACTTTTGAATTTGTGTAACAAGGCTGGCTTCACTCACACCACCTGAAAGTTTTGGACTAGTAAATAAGGAAGAGATAAGTGAATATACTTTTATTAGCACTGCTAATAACTGCAGTGTAGTTTTTAGCTATGCTGTGATTGAACTGCAATGAAAGTTGCAGGTGTTTGCACCTTTTGGATGTTATTTGAGATTAACTGTTAACCAGCGCAGCTTAACTGTTTTCTTTTTAGAGCAGTAAGCTAGTTAAGTAATATTTTTAAATCCAGGTTTTTTTCTTGTGTCTAGGAGTACAGAACCCTCAGGCAGTTCCCAAGAATGGTTCTACAAAGATCGTGATGATTCTGGCTCCACTATATTTGATGAAAAGCAGTATAGAATTAAATGTGAAGATCAATGCAGCCAGACAGACTATACATCAGAGAGGTATGAGACACAAACTCTGTCATTAACTTACTGCAGTGACTAAATACACGCTGCTGCTGTCAGGTTGTATTTCTTTCTTTTTTCCTTTTGTAGGAGAAGTCTGATGAGGGGAACAGTTAATGCTGAGTCTGTTTGGTGTTTACATTGTAGAATGTAGTCCATCTCTATTGCAGACAATTGAATGCAGGAAAAACTAGCACTGTTACAGAACTTCATAGTTAATAGCTAAAGAAAGCAGTGTTCTTTCTGCTTCACTGTTTATTAGCAGTATTGTGTTTGTCTACACAAGAGCAGGGAGAGTAGAAGTAAAGCACCTTGTGCACTTGCCTACTGAGATACTTTATACGTATCTCAGTTATATGTGATGAAAATAGTTCTGCAGTTCCTTGCGTGATTGAGACTCGGTTCTGTTTTCAAAATACAGTGGAATGGTCACCAAATTTCAGCCTTTTTTTTTCAGTACTCCTCTATTATGACTGAAGAATCATACCCCAAAGAAACAAAATCTTCCCATATGCCATTAATTTACAAAACTCTGATAAGCATTTAAATGCAGATGAAAAACACTTTGTGTGTAAAATCCACATCTTATTTTTGTAGTCCCTGTTCTCCTGATTGTTCACCAGTATGGAAACGCAGAAAACGAAACAATTCTGACTCCTCTGTGGTTTCAAAGGGCAAAAACCATTATGTGCATATGTACCATGCACTGGAAAGGTATGAAGTGATTCTGCATGTGGTATAAAGTGATGCTGTAACTCATATTACAAACTGACTCTGGGAATATAACTGGAATTTCTCTCCACTTGCCAGTAGCTTTAATTTTCTTTAAAAATGTGTGTGATTTAATAAGGACAGGAAGTAATGCCAAAAGCAATAAGTTGTGTAGTTGCACATGTCACTGCAGAGCTGACGAAGCTTTGTTGTCAGAGGATACAACATTGGTTACTTGGGGGCAAATACTAAGTCGTAGAATAGCTTGGGTTGGAAGAGACCTGAAAGATCATCAAGTTGCAGTGCCTCTGCTGCAGGCAGGGCTGCTGGCCAATCAAGTACAGGATCAAAGCCCCATCCAACCTGGCCTTAAACAGCTCCAGGAATGGAGCATCCACAGCCTCTGTTTGTTCCAGCTCCTCATCACTTGCTCGGTAAAAAACTTCTCCCCAACGTCTAATAAATCTCTTTTATTTTAGTTTTAAAGCCATTCCTCCCTTGTCCTATCACTATCAACCTATGAAAACAGTCGCACCCCCTCCTGTGCATGTGCTCCCTTCAAGAACTGGAAGATCTCAGTGAGGTCTCTCCAGAGCTTTCTCTTCTTCAAGCTAAACAATCCCAGTTCCCTCAACTTTTCTTGATAGGGGAAGTGTTCCAGCCCTCTGAAACTAAAGGAGAGCTTTCGTGGCATAGCTCTAGACAAAGTTATGTCACAACCACAAGTAAAGTGAAATGATTTAACTTCTGGGGAGATTATAGATTCTTCTCCCTAGCCTCAGTAAGAATATGAATACAGATGTTTTTTCTTTACTTAGCTCCCTTATCTTCTGAAGAATTGAGAGAAACTATGATACAAAGCTCCATGGTTTCCAACCTTTTCATTTTCTTTCTAGTCTTACAGAGTCAGGACATCAGCAGACTTTTTCTGAGTGCTCAGATTGGGAAAAAATTGGTGAAAATGATGAAGTAATGACAGTACAGCACAACATAGAAATAAAAAGGTAAATACCATAGTGATGATCTTTGTTAGTTGCTTGCACAGTGTCCTTGTTTTTTGTTTTTTTTTTCAATCTTGTTTTCCCTTCACAGTTTAATACTGTTTTGTTTGTGTTTCTCTTTTCTGCAGCATGTAGCATAGTTGGTTATTTTTCTTCTTAGAATTTAGCTGGCTTTTCCCAGTGTGATTCCCCATCTGCTGCTTCCACCATGAAGCTGCAAAATGCTCAGCCCCTTTCCCCTGCTGTCTTAGGGAAAACAATGGCCCTTTGCAGCACTGGGCTGTGATTGTTACTTTCTTCTCACTTGCTGTGTCCAGGAACTGAAGACTCTCTCCTCAGAAGTGAAGCAGTTTTGCAGCTGACATTACAATAACAGTTACTTCTTTTTATGTAGTGACCCCATTCCCACCAGTTGTTCTTCAGGATGGAACAATCAGAACAACACCAGCATCTTTCTGCCTGATAGCAAAACTTGCAGAGAGTCAGACTGCCAGCTGCAGAGGTATAAAACACAGCTGTCAATCAGGCTTTTTCATATGTTAAGTTAGAAGCATGCTTGTGTTACTGCCATACTCCAAACCAAACTTCTATAGTAATGAATTTTTTATTGTTGTTTTTTGGGATGTCTTAGTCACTAATTTATGTGGTGTATGGTAAAATTCTATCCTTAATGTTCTCTTCTTATAGATTATTGCAGTAAAACACATGTTGTATTTGATATTGAAGTATTATTGTAATTAAGCTATTTAGTTCTTTTGAACTGAAATAGAGATACAGAAGGAAAATGTGTGGATTTTTATTTGTAGGCTTAAACTTTGTAGCAGTTTATTCAAAGGACATCGGTCAGAGTATCCTGAAAGGGGATGGGGAAGTACTGAAGACAGAATATTGAGGAAAAAAATTTAAATACCATGGTGAGTTGATGGTGATGACCTTTACCCATTCAGAACCCAATACTGTTAAACAGAATCCAGTGGTTCTGTTCAAGTCGATCAGTTTGTTTTTCTGTTGTGTTACTATGATTAGTGTTCCATCCCATCCTCTTATATTTATTTCAGTGCCTTAAAAGAGCTGATACATTGGGCTTGGTGGACTGAAATATTTATCTGTTCAACCAGAAAACATAATGCTCTATGTCCTCCACTTGCCTCTTAATATTTTGTGATACTGTCACAGCTGTGTTTGCAGCAACAGATTTCACTGAAAGTTTTCTTCTGTATTATAGATTTCTAATGCATTAATAGGGTTGATTCTGTCTTGAGTTTTTTATGAGCATTGCATTTTATGTTATTTGATTGTCCTTGATCTACATGACATATGGAATAGGATGTAAATGTCTTCAACAGTCATTGGCTGGAATATTCTCCATAATAAAATTACTAGGAATGTGGCACCCAGGTGGTTGTACATGACTTAGATTTTGTATTCCTTTAATACTATGAGGAAAAGGCAGGTGGAGCTCTCACAGAAAGATGTCTCTAATAACATTTCTTCTATTGACTCAATTGATTTTAAGTTCTTTAGATATAATTAAGTCTTAACATGTTATTTTTCTAAAGTGCTCATTTAATATTTGTAAATATTTAGTCTGTCTTTGTATATAGAAGCATCAAAGAAGGACTTTCTCCTGTGACAGAAAATTATTTGAAGATTAGGATATAGTCTGAAATCAGCAGATCAAACCTTGGACAACTGGTGCAGTCTCCTAAGTTCTGCACTGAAAAAAGAAGAGATTTACAGTCAGCATTTGTGCAGTCAACACAAGGTGAAACATGCAGGTGAAAAAACAAAAACAAAGAAAAAGCATGCATCCATAATGGAAATTGAGAACCTTTCTGGTCTTCTGGGATAGTCAGTTGATACTTACCAGCTTTGCAGTTACGTGTGTATCCTGGTGTATCCTGTTGAAAGTATGCTTGATTTTCAAAGGGAAAAAAAAAATACAACACATCAGGATTGTGCTAATTAGAATTAAAAGGAATGTATTTTGTGAATTAATAAGTGTCCAGGTGAAGATTGATATAAGGGGTGGGAAGAGAGGCTCAACTTCTTAATTTTGTCATTTGCAAATAATTTAGTTCAATGTGTTTTTACTCTGCTTTTACTGTAAGTTACATTCTCAAAGTATTAATGCTGTCTTTAACTCTTTCTTTGCTGTGGACATTATGACTTGATCTTTTACGCCAGGCTTTAAGTTCAGTGTGCAATACTCATCTGTAACATCACAGCTTAAGAGAGTAAATATTTTGCCATTAATGACTAGATACATTACATTTATAAAATACTGTTGTTTGTCTCTTTGTTTAGGCTTCTCCAGATCTTTAAGGATAGACTGTCTTCTGCAAGCTCTGCCTCGAGTGTAAAACCTCTGATTTTATTCAGATTTTTCTAAGATGATGATGGATGTTCCTTAAAGCTTTTGTGAGGACATTTCTACTTTACCTTTGTTGACAAATGACATGCGTCATGTTGTAAAGGCTACTTCCAGGGATGGGTATTGCTGTTGCCGTTTGGAGATCATGCTGCTTAAAGTGAACTAACATTTTGCTGGTGAATTGGTCCAATATTGAGTCAGAGTGAAGAATCCACCTGCTGAATCAAGGAGTTAAACCTTGTTTTCTCTACTGAACCAGAATTGTGTATCCAGCCTGGAGAACTGCTTCTAAACAATGTAGATAATTCCAGTTTGCTCTTCAGTTGCTAACGCGATCATCTTTTTGACTTATTTTCCATTCTCTGAGGTAATACATATTAAGCTAGCATCTGCCTAGTGTGAAGGGAGAAGGAGAGATTATCAGAAATAGCATCTTCTCTTTGAGGGGATGAGACTGTATAAGCAGCCATGTGGTCTGAATACCTGGATTTCACTTTTGATGTGTGTGGCCTGAAGAGCCAGTACTGCTGAAGGGATAAGATGATGAGGTCAGTGGCTACTCTTGTTACAGGAAATGAATGAGAAGCAGCAGTATTTGCAGGTTTGGAGCTGCTTGGGCATGGGGTGTCCTGGCTAAACTGTGATAATGTTGACTCTCCCTTATTTTACTTTTCTATGCTGTGCGCCAAGCATTAAAGTAAGGGCTGTGACTCCAATGGAGTTTAGATGAGAACTATGTGTCAGGTAAAATATATTTTCTTTACAGACTTTGTGACTTAAGTAGTGGGGTACGTACGTTTGTTAGAGCTATTAGTTGTCTTTCTACAGTGGTTCAGCTCTGCCATTGTTAGTTGGCTCTTCATAATGCCACTGCAGGAACTGTGGCCTTGAGATGATGCACAGTGACCTTGTGGGACTGGCCGGGTACTCCCAGGGCCAGACATCCACTGTTCTGCTGAAGCAGCAAGCTGCTGCTTGGAAACTACTTCCAGTCCCTTCCAAAGCATTACTTCAAACTGTTGCTTAGATTTCTTTCAGCTGAGTTTTGTAGAACTTCTGTGCTAGTTTGAAATTTTCAGATACACTTCTCATTTGTCCAGTGCATCAAGAAAACTTGAACTGTATACAGCATTACTGCAGTGAGCTGGAGCATTAGCTTGTCTTCACCAAAGCCTGTCAAGTGTATAGAAATTGCTACAGTGGTTATGTTTAGCAAGTTTGCTAGTTCCCAGTGAAGAAAAGATTGAATATATAGGGGAATGTGTGCTGCTGCTTTAACAGGAGTATATTAGATTGATGGCATCTGCTGCTCAGTAGTAAGAATGTCCTTATGGCTGTGTGCTTGCCCAGACATAGGAAGAAAGTGAGGCCTCTGGTACCTAGAAGTCAGATTAGTCAACTTCCCACCATTGGGGGGTGAAAGGAGGCTGCCTGCAGGTTGGTGAGGCTTGTCCCCTACATTTCCTACATCATCTGGGACTCATCCATCTATGCTTATGCTTAAGGGTCAGTGGAGTCCCAGTACGAGATAGCTCAGTCACATACCGCAGTATGGCATGTGCATACAGGGAACAAATCTGTACAGCATCTTCTGAAGTACTATTTAAGAGTGATGGTGTTCCAGCATGCGTGCTTCCATGTGTTTTATGATGACTGTAAACGTGAGAGTGATTTTTTGTTTCTGGCATATTGTCTTTATGCAGAGGAATTAAAGTCTTTAACCTTTAAAATGCCTCTTAGTCTGCTTTCAGTGTTGTCATTATTATAAAAGGAATATGCGGGTTCAGTTGTCTTTCTGTTTGCTTCAGGCTAAGTTTTTGGGGAGTAGGAGTTAGCTCCTGCTGAAAGGGGTAGGAAATACTCTTCAGAAGGGGTTTACAGTACAATATAGGTTGTGTCCAACCCCTCAGTTCTGACATCTTGTCATGAGCTTGCATGTAGCCTAGTGGAAGGTGGGGAGCAGCTGGGGCCCCAGGACTCACTGCCATAAGAAAGGTGTGCTTGTGGAGTGGATGGAGCTGTCAGCTGGGAGCAATAGGCTGTCGTGAAATGCTTTAGCTCAGCCTTCAGAGCCCTTAAGCTTTTGTCTGGGATGGATGGCTTCTGCAGCAGATACACATATGCAAATCCATAGGATTTGTAATTTGTCAGCTCTTAAAAGATTCTTAGATTAGAATAACTAGTCTTCCTGTAGTGGTTATTTTGGGCAGAAGTATTCTCTAATCCAGGTTCCATACATCTGGACAAACTGTGCTAGCACGACAAGAGGAAGGATACTGAACAGGTAAGGTTTGAGGTCTACTGATGTCATCCCACGGAGTGCTGCTGTTGGATGTAGAGCCATTTTAATGCCTCTTAATAAATCTTATCCATCTAAATAGACCAGTTAAATCTATCTGTTGTTTATCTACCCAGAGCTATCTGACTCAAGGATTAATAATTCAGGTAAGCAAAGCCTGAATCTAGCATTCCATCTCCAGTTTATTTGATAGCTTTTCATTAATGTTATCAGTTTTAATTAAATCCAGTTTGTATGCAAAAATAAGTTTCAAGCTTTACCACTTAAGATTTCTTCTGAGAAGTGACATGCATCTCCTACTGGTATGCATCCACTGGAAGGGTCAGTTCATAGATGTGTTATCTGTACTTGCAGAAGCAGTTCTTCAGTAGTGTTCTGAAATGCCACAGGTTGTGTGCTTTGCTTCTGCTTTTTTGTTCTTGAACTGTTGCTTTGAGGTCACACTGATGAGGGTACCTCCTTCCCTTAAAGTTCCCACTGAGCTGAGAAAGTGTTTTTGTGACAGATTTTTTTTGCTGTCAAAGATATAAATGATGCAAGGCAGGTGTAATCCTAAAGCTGTGTTAAAGCAGATAGTTCTGCTTAGTAAGCTGAATTTAACGTGTCTGTAGTGCTATACTAGCTGCTGTAGGGCTTCCAGGCTTATAGCTGGGCAACTTGGATGAATTCAGGTAAATGTGCCATTAACTCAGAGCAAGGATGGGGAATATAGGTTTGATTTCTATGTTTTGAACATCTACTGAACTTCAAGCATGTCCTTCATCCAGTACAGTTCTGTTTTCTGTGGCAGTGTGTGGGAGAGTGGTAGCACAGCAGAAACATTCTTATGCAAGTACAGCTATTTCTTTTACAGATACTGCACAAGAGATACAGTAATGCTCAAGGTGAAGAAAGGGAAAGGAATTTCCAAGATAACTTCAGTTGCACTGCTTTCAAATCTTAGTGTTCTGCTGAGCACGAAGTCAGCCTGTTAGTGCACAGAGGGAGGCAGCCTGGAGACATTCTATAACAGAGATCTTGCAGAGAATAAAGTGCAGGAAAAAATGTGAGGGAAAGAGAACTCCCTTCTCCTTCCCATGTTTCCTAAACATTACTGGTTTCAGTCAGGAGTGCTGGCTATGCCAATGCTCCACCTGAACAGCATAATTAAACAGATAAAGACGGTTCTAAATTCATTCTTACCAGGAGTCTTTGGGGTGTAAAAAAGCAAGCCAGCTCTCTGCAGAGATGTCAAACTGCTTAATCTTAATACTGCAGTTGGCTGAAGATGCATGGTCTGGCCTGGTGCGTCTCCCAGAAAGCAAGCTGGCACTGAGCAGGCTGTCACTGCCAAAGTTCTGCTGGGATTTCATGCAGGTGTATGTGCCCATCAAAGCTGGCCCAGCTTTGCAAAAAAATCCCAAACAAACGCAATTAAGAGTTTAAACAACATTTGCACCTTTCTGGGAAATAGTGTGAATTTCTCCTGCTGTTAATTTGCAACCGGAGGCCTTGAACGACTGAGCTGGGTTTTAGAACGGGATCATCTTTAAGGTCCCTTCCAACCCAAGGATTCTGCGATGACCTGAACTACCTGCCCGTCCCGTCCTCATTAGCAGGCAGTTAAGTACCGTTGCCGTGCAGCTCAGCTCCCCGCGCTGCTGCCATTGGTGGCCGCGGGCGCAGGAAGCGCGCGCCAAAACGGCGCTGAGCCGCGCTCCGATCTCCCGCCACGCCCGGGCGGGGCCGGGCCGAACCATGGCGCTGGGTCGCGGGGGGAGGCAGGAGGAATTGCTGTCCTGGCGCCGCGCGTGTCTCGGTTCCGTGCACGTCCCGAGGCGGGTTGGCCGGCCGTTGCTCTGCGCTCACGGAGTGGTTGGGGAGAAGAGGCGCCTCAGCGGCCGCGCTCCGCTCCCCCGGATCTCCACCCCGTACTCGGCGCAGTGGACCGGCTGGCGGGGGGCGGGGCCGGGCGGGCTGGCGGGAGATGCGAAGAGCCAGGTGGTAAGGCGGCAGTTCCGCACGGCCTCCTGCGTGTGTGTGTCCGTCTGTCCTTCCATCCGTCTTTCCATCCTCAGGGCCCCACGCTATGTCCTTCCGCCAGAGGAGTCCGCACGGCACGGCCAGGAGCAGGTAGGGCGAGCGAAGGGCTCGGGGCGCTGCCGTCGGTCCCGGCTGGGCCGCGATCCCCTTAGCGAGGGGCCGCCATGTTGTGCCGCGGGGGCGGCGGGTCTCTGAGGGAGCGCGTCTCTGCCGGCAGCCCGCAGCCGCCCCCTCGCTGGTCCCAGGGAAGGAAGCGCGGCGCCGACGGGAAGCGGAGGATGCGGAGCGACGGCGAAGCGCCGATGTGCGGGGACGCCGAGCGCCGGGCCTCGGACGGCAGGGCCGACAGGTGAGAGCGTGGGGGTGAGAGGGAACGGCCTCCGGTTGTGCCAGGGAAGGTTCGGGTTGGACATCGGCAGAAATTTCCTCTCGGGAAGAGCGGCGATGCGTTGGCACGGACTGCCCGGGGAGGCGGTGGAGTTCCTGGCGCGTTCCTGGAGGTGTTAAAGAACGGCGGAGATGTGGCGCTGAGCGACGCGTCGGTGGGCCTGGAGGGCTGGTTGGACTGCAGGGCCTTCGGGAGGTTTTCCCGAGCCATCGGGTTGCTCGTGGTTCTCTTTCATTGGGAGAACAGTAAGCAAACGTGACCTGAAAAACAGGAAACAATTTAAGTAACTTTCCAGAAGTCTTCCAGATCTAATGAAAAGTCTCTGGTCTGCAGGGCACGGCTCTGAGCTCGTGGTTTAGGATGATTAACCAGCAGGACAGAAACTGCTCTGGAAAACTTGATTAACAGTCTGAATGTAGACAGCAGCTGATGCCTTAGGAAGAGAGATAAGAATCATAGAATGGCCTGGGTTGAAAAGGACCACGTTGATCATCTAGTTTCAACCCCCTGCTATGTGCAGAGTTGCCAGTCACTAATACCAGGCTGCCCAGAGCCACATCCAGCCTGGCCTTTAATATCCCTTCCCAGTTTTGAATCTTCTCGTGATGTTAATAGGCTACAATGAAGTTATTACATCCCATTTGCAAATCTCAGTTAACCAACTGAAAATGAAGTTACTTTTTTTTAGATTAGGTGAGCAATATTGTTATGTGTTCTATTTTTTTTCTTATACCTATTGAGTCTCTAAACAGGAAATAATAAATACTGGTTAAGTCCTTTAATGGAGAGAAATTATGTGAGTAAATGAGTAAAGATGATATTTCCCACGCTGTTCTCTGAAGGAAACCATCAAAGTTCTTAAAGTGTAGTCTAGGTTACCTGCTGCAGTGATATGTTTCCACAGATATCTTCAACAACTTTTACTAAAACAACAACAAGAACAAAAATACCAATAAACAAAAAATCAGAGAATTGTAGGGGTTGGAAGGGACCTCTAGAGATCATCAATGCCAACCCCCAGATCAGTCAACTTCAAAGTGGAATCATCAATTGCTCAGTTTTACAATGCTGAAATTTCAATAGAATCATACAAGATCTTCACAACCATTGTGAGTGCTATACCTGACAACATCAAACAGCTACCAACTTGCAAACAGGGAAGATGGTGGGGAAGGGGTAAAATGCAGTAGAACAACTTTTTTTTTTCCTTTCAGTTTTACAACACCAGAAGGCCCTGGCCCCATTTCCCGGTGTTTAGACTGGGCAACTGCAGTGGAAGAAGATGAAATGAGAACCAGCGTTAACAAAGAAATTGCAAGGTACTCATGGGTGTTTAAGATGAAGTGGGGAAAGGAGGGAAGTGGAAGTTTTCTTGTGGAATCTGTACTGACTCGTATTTTTAACTTCACTGTTCAGTCAGACTCAGACCGTGGTTCAGTCCTAGTCTACAAAGATTAGAGTTCAATCTTAGCCTCAGAGTCAGAGTTCTGCTTTTCAATCCAGCTTAACTCCATAGCACACTGAGGGAACGTATGTCTCTAAATCTCTCCCTTTTGGAAGAAATGTATCCACGTTCCTTTCAATGTCCCTTCTCATTGTTTACTGTTTCTGAATATCTTTTTCTGTTTAAAGATGTTTTATAGTGAACTTAGGATAAGTCCTTGGTTGTGTTGTGTTCTTTAGTTTTTGGGGGGAAAACTGAATCATCTGCTCCATAGTGGAAAGTATTTACAGTGTGTAGGTGGATTTCTTTAAGGCCTTGAGGTAAAACTGACTGAGCTGTCACAGTGCAGCCATGTATGTTCTCTGTGTGTGTGTTCTTAATATTGACTTGAACTCTTGCAGATACAGAAGAAAACTCCTGGTAAATGAGTTTTCAAGAGAAAGGAAGTCCTCTTCAGGAAGGTAGGTTTCTAGCTTAGCTGAAGAAAATCTTTGCAGTAGATTTGACTTTTCAAATGTAGTGTTGCTTTTGAAAACCCTAGAATTGAAGTGGTACATCTTAGCTCTCTCCCAACATT